GATAAACCTCTGGTTCTCCAGATATTACAGAACTATAACTCTGAAGGCCCTTTCACCCAAGGATTCTCCACCAGTTTGAAAGTAACTCTGGATTACTCAGATCCCACAATAATGACACATTTGAAAATTGAGCCAATTTATTTCTGGCTCAGCTATGTTGCATTTGAAACCACAGTAAATCTAATCCTTTGAAATCCTGCGGCTTTGTGAAGCTCCTAGTATTTATTTGTAATGCTGACTGTAGTTCAGTAACATCTGGAGGATCACTCCACCCATGTCATATATGCTTCTATCCCCCCATTTCATCCTATTTTATCCTCCTCCTCCTAATAATAATAATAAGCTGGTGTGTTAGTAACTGGCTCAAGATTACTCAGGAAACTTCATATCCAAATAAAGATTTGAACTAGAAATGTCTAGTCCTATTCTATATTTAAAATAAGTCCCTGTTTCTGAATAATCTTCTGACAGTCTTGCTATAAAGACCAAAAGGCACCTAATATTGTTGAAGAGAGGGGAATGCCTCCTGAATAATTCGGCACCCTTCAACACACTTTTGTTTCATCTCCAAATCAAGGTCAAAATAATGCAATCCGTATATCTCAGGCACGCAGAAGTACATCCAGAAATGAATATTCTACACGTATATGCTCAAAAGTCAGTATTGTTGGAAGACTGTGAATAACTTACACATGTAAAACAAGAACTGCTGATCCCAGTTTTTTATTTTGGACCGATAGCTTAAGTTGGGTAGGATATCTGGAGTTGGGGTAGATTTATGGAGGATCGAGCCTTATGGAAACACTTTACACTTTACACTTTACACTTCCACACCTAATGTTGTACTTCTGCTGGTAATCTAGCCAAATGATGAGAAAACAGGGTGCATACAGTTGATAGTCAAATAAATATAATGCAATGTCCTTTTTGCATGGAGCCCATTTTGTCCTACAAAGTACTTCAGTTTAATCCACATGCTACATCCTGAGTTGTAGCAGCAAAATCCCTAGTATTCACATCCCAGTACAGCACTTAGAACATTGTTTTTTCAGTAAAGGAAAACAATAGGGAGTACAGTGATCATAAACAAACATTGATGGAGAATTTTTTTTTCTTATTGTTTTCCGCAGTTAGTCTTTAACTAAGGCTAATACACTATTATACAGTCAGGGTTGGGCCTCTAATTGTGAGGATTGTATCATGAAAATAGATCTCCCTCCTCAATATATTATTAAAGCAAAGGTTAAAATTAATGCAATGTATCCTTAAAAGAAAAAAAAAATGGTGACTTATTCATTAGGAAAGATGGCATAGTTTAGTAGTGGAGCACGTGCTTTGCATGCAGAAGTCCCAGGCTCAGTTCCTGGAAATATTCTTGTCTAAAAATTTAGATAGTTACTGTTGGTTATTAATGATCTGATATAGCAGAAGAGATGTTCCTATGGAGACTGAGTTTCATGCTATTGACTATGATTGCAAAATAACAGAAGGCTCTCCAGTGCAAACTCTAATGCAGAGATGGTCAACTCTTCCAGAGGACATATTTTTATTTCCAAAATTATGTTTAGCTTCTGAGGACTACAAGGAGCACTGTTAGTGATGTGAAGGTAGCACTAAAGTGCACAGAACTAACATTTTAACAGAAAAGCAGGTACACTAAGTCTCTTGGAGATGTAACAGACCTATGTTACAGCTTACAAGCTGTTTTTTTAAAGACCAAAAAATGGCACCAATGAAAATCACCATTTGTCATTGTATTTTGCCAGTGTGACTATGGGGCTCTGGAGTCTGAAAAAATGGAAGTGTGGTTAGCATATAGATCACAAGTTGATTTCCCCTGCCCACTCACATCCTGCCAGAGCTGACTAGTACTTGACCAGAAGCACTATCTTCTTACAAGTAGCTTCCATAGATTTCAGTTTTGAGTTGAGCAGAACTTCTTTGTGAATCAGCCCAAGATGTTTGAACATATAAGTCTTTGAAGTAGGCATCTGAACTGCTTCCATTTGATCCTAGCCTATCTTCTCTCACAGCTATATTTCTTTTTCAAATCACCACCAGAAAAAGATGATGACGATGATGATTTTTGAAAGAAGACTAGGTTCCTTTTAAAAAAATACAGACTTTGATAGCACATATTAGGGATTTCTGCTCCCCTCATTATCAAGGTGAGGATTAATTTGGTGCATCTACAACTCCATCTGGAATGTTTTGGGCTGTATAACACATTAGGATGTTAACAACTGAAGGAAAAAATAAGCAACTGTCAATTTTCAGAACATTTCATTAACTATAAAAGTATTCAATTGTCCTATGATGTGAAATTGTGATGCTGTTCAGTGCTGTTCTTTGCATTACAGTTTAATCTCATTTTTCCTAAGGGCAACTCAATTAGGATTATCGTGTTCTCTTGTGCCACTCTGACAAGGCTGGGCTTGTTTCAAAAATAATTCAGAAGCAGCATTTTGGCCCCACATGAGCATAGCACCTCTCTGCTGCTTATTAAAGGAGCCTGGTCTTGTTTCAGAATCAACTCATTAAAGCAACTATCTTTAATCTAATTCTTAAAGCAGCTGCATCTTTTCTCAGGCTCACAAAGAAACCTAAAAGAAGACATGTACTATAAATTCTGAATCATAGGTGCTGTGCTTGTGCTTGCTCAAGAGTTGTGAAGCATGCAGAGCCATACTATCTGCAGTGCTGAGAATGAAACAAAGCTTGCATGGTGAAAACTTTGAAATGGCACAAAGATGCATTAGTAGAATGTTGTTAAAGCTAATATCCTAGAAGCGGTTGGGGGTTTATGCATTTGACAAGTCGGACAAATGCAGAATAGGTTTCGTAACTGGTAAAAGTAATAAATAAAGAAGAACATGGGATCCTTAACCCTTTCTCCGTTTGCCATATTCTCACTTCAAATAATCCATTCAGCAATTACCACAGAAATGTGCATTGATGTAGAAGAATCACTTGGGGAGAGCAGAAGTATGAACTATTTTTTAGAGTGAAGAAATTTTCAGGGAGAAAAATTAATGCTCCAGCGGTTTATGCTGTTTTCTCAGTTGCCTTGTCTTAACATTGCTTTCCTTCTAAACAAATTACACTGGGCTTCTTGTATGTAATTTGCTCCGTTTGTAATTTTAGAGTATCCAGCTTTGTTGACACTACAGTCCAGTGTTTGATAAAATGTACATGATAGCATTTTAGATAGATAGAAATCAGCAACATAGTTGAATATAATGGGCACTGCTTTGTTTGGGCTTTTGCTGCCAAATGAAAAAAAAAACCGTTTTAATAGTACATGGTCTCAGTATAATGGCTCAACAGTTTAACACCAGGACCAAGTCACACTGGGGATTGAGAACCATCTGTTGGCTTTAATATCAGAGAGAGAGAGAGATTAATGCTGCAGTACTAAGTATATTTACAGGGGAGTAAACTGCAATAAATGCAGGTGGACCTATAGAAACGTGCAGAAGATTACCCTATAATAACCATTTCCAGGTAGAAGGTATTTGGAACAATCTCAAGGTCAGCTTATTAATTGATGGAATATTCAGAATCCTTGGATGTGTGCCTGTTAAAGGTCATAAAAAGTTATACTTTTTTTTTTCCCCTAAAGAGAAAATGTGAGACATTCTCTCATGGACGGTGAATACTCTGATGTTTCTGATGTCTGCACTTTAAAATACACTTGTGCACATTTCTCCTCACTATTTTCTTTTTCTGCTAGACCAACCTTCCCTAATCAGACATTTTCCAGGTGTGATGGGACTGAAGTTCTCTGCTTTTGGAATCCCATAGCTGTAATCCTAACATATCTGGAGGGTGTCAGGTTGGGAAAGAGTGTATAAGAACTTACCCCATGATAAATGTATAAAATTGATACAAAACTGGCACAGGAGAGCTATTTAACAAATCTTTTTCTTTTTGATTTGGCAGGGAGACCCCATCCCTGAAGAAATATATGAACTGCTGCATGACAGCTCGGTGCGCTCCATCAGAGACCTCCAGCAGGTCCTGCGGATAGAATCCGTAGGTAAATTTCCACACCGAATGTTCCTCTTCCATAAATCCCAACAGATGTAACAATAAAGCTAGTACAAATGCATTTGTACCCCACCTAAGAGATGCCGCTGTGAATTATGTGTTTTCTAGATTCAGTTTACACAAAATAAAGCCACAGGATATATCTGGGTTGACAAACTCTCCTCCCAAGATGGTATGTGGCAATTCACCCAGAGAATAATCCTATAGCTTATTTTGACCCTTCATGTCCTAAGGGTTTGAGCTATATAGTGTCAGAAATACCCAGGGGATCTTTCAAACATGGCAGGACATGGATCACTGGAAAACAAATGGTGGAAAACCTGATAATGTGAGTTAATAAATGAGAGAGAGATTCTGTATGAGTTCAGGCTGTAGAGTGTTTTCTTATCTTGTCAACCCACCATTTCATGGGATGAGGAACAAAATACCCACTGCAAAAAATGAATAAACACATCCATAACCCTTAGGAAGCCAACTTTTCTTCACAATTACAAATAACGGTCAGAGTCCTGGTGCTAAAATTGCTGGCTCAGGAACTGGGAATTCTCACTAGAACAAGATTGAAAATGGGACAGATATTTGTTAGTTTCCTTTATTTCCAAGACCAAACAGGAGAATCCAGGCACGGTAATACAGTGTCAAAGTAACAGCAGTGTTTCCACATCTATGCTATGGTTAGAATACTCCTATGTGATACATATTGTTTCAGCACATACTGTATATACCTTATGTCAGTGTTGTCCAAACTTGGCCACTTTAAGATGAGTGGACTTCAACTCCCAGAATTCCCCAGCCAGCCATG